CCAAAGATCATCCTGAGAACAAGATTTCCCGGATCTATCAGCATCTCTTGCATTTTCCGCGTAATCAATATATCCTCCAGTACCTCGTCAATGCCCTTCAAAGGACCAATGCAGACCATGTAGCCAGCTGTCTTGCCGAGCTGTTTGACATTGCACGGGACATGGTACATAGGACCTTGTATCTCAAGCCCGACGTGTTTTACACCCTGGTAGTCGAGCAGAAGGAATGGGCACGTAACATTCATGTTGGCATTTTTAGCCGTTTTGTGACGTCTTTGGTCTTTGGCCGAAGTCTCTACAAAGATTTGGTCCACGAGGTTGATCAAAGACTTTGTGATAATCCCCTTGCTGGCGCCATAGATCGTTTTGTGGCATCCTTCTTGGATTACTGTTTGTTATCACCGATCCCCACATCGAAAGGTATAATGACTAACAATGCATCCTAGACCACGTACCGATGATCCTGTGTGAGGAGAATTGGAAGTTGTTCAGCGCAAAGAAGAGCCGCGCCCGAGAGAAGTATTACCAATACTTCCACGGCACGCAGTCATGGACCGAGGGTCTCTTAGACTGCGAGATCTCCGAAGAGCGGGTTGCCACCGCATACGATGACTGTTACGAGTGGTATTACGCTGCAAAGAACACCGAGCTGCAGCCAGCGCTTCCAGACCCCGAGATCGAGGAATACCACGAGGAAATCAACTACGATTACGAGGATTGGGAAGTCGACCACCAGCTCGTGAGCGACTATGATTTCAATGCACAGGATCCGCTCCAATTTGACGAAGACGCGGACGACGTTGAGGCTGCTGAAGGCTATACGTAAGTTCTTGACTGTCTTCCCCAGGTAAAGAAAGACTGACTTTTGGGTTTAGTGCAGACTAAGCTATTCAATGTCAGCCCGTAAATGAAACGAGCATATTCGCCAGATGACGAGGTTCGATGCCCGAGGTCAACCATACAAGTCATGTTGTCCAAGAACGGTAAACAGAATGGGACGAATGCAAGAGGACTCATCCTGTTCGACAGATTGCGGAGCAATGTTAGACTCTGAGAAGGGAGAACAAGGGAGAACAAGGGAGCAAAAAAAATACTGGAGAGCTGGGTTCAGCCTAAGGGGACGGGGCAGTCATAATGTGGGAGGCAGTGTCACGCGCCTCGTATGTTGGCTCGACATTGTGTCACAGAGATAGCTTTGCCCCAGTCAAGGACTTTTCGGTTGTAGAGTAATCAATCCGACAATACAAGAAGACTGTCATCGTTGAGATGCAGTGTAACACGTGTTATGCCTTGCTCGGTCAGACTTCAGACTGTTGGAGTCTTGGATACCCAGACTGGTCACTGCTCTCTTCTATTGATGTTGCGTACTACCCTAGCTCTTATCAGGGAGTGTGGCTGATCCGAAGCTTAGCCGTCGACGCCCCACTTGACGAGCAACCTCACCTCAGATTTCTGAACGGATGACCAGTCCGAATCAAAGCTTGGGAGAGGAGCAACAATAAGAATCTTTCAACGGCTCACTGGAACTCTGCAGCTCGTATTGCCACGATTCCCCAGTTCCTCAAACCTGAAACGGTCCCGCCACCATGGAAGCCGATATAAGGGCTGCTCTTCCAGACATCGACCCAGTTGTTTCCGAGTACTCGGTGGGTTATCTCAGACACGCGTCTACGGCATGGATCGGCGACGACGCGACGGAGATATCTCCATTGGCAGAAGCTGCCGCTGCCGTCACCGAGCTTCTCTTGTCCGCATCAGGCAACCTTGACAGCACCACCCAACAGGACAGGATCCGTGCATTGGTAGCGAAATGGGTCGAGAAGTACGAGGAGGCGAATGGCACCAATGGAGAGCGGAGGGGCCCGTCTGCTGTGAGGCGTCTTGATCAAACCTTCCAAGTCAGCTCACAGCGCAACATGTCTTCAACTCTAGCGGTCGCCACCGGCAGTGTCGATCTCGAGTCTGCCAACACGCGCAAAGTCGAATCCAAGGTGGATCGCAAGAAACTTGAGAAGGCGGAGAGGAAGATTGCTGCCAAACAAAGCAAGAAGCAGTTTAAGAATGTTGAGTACGAAGCCTCCAGGCTCCTCAATCAACCCGAAGATGCCCAGTCATACGAAGAGTTCTACATGGCTGTCAACCCGCTTCAACTCGGCATTGGTGGTGGTGCAGCAAAAACAAAGGACATCAAGATTGAAAATGCCGACGTCAGTATCGGCGGCACACGCATCCTGGTTGACACAGATCTTACACTTGCTTATGGTCACCGGTATGGTTTAGTTGGAAACAACGGTGTCGGTAAATCTACCTTGCTTCGCGCACTATCGAGAAGAGAACTTCCTATCCCGACTCATATCTCCATTCTACATGTGGAGCAAGAAGTGAGTATACCTGTCCCCGGTGATGCTGTATGACTTGTACTGATATCCCTAGATTACCGGAGATGACACAAGTGCTCTGCAAGCGGTTCTGGACGCCGACGTATGGCGGAAGGTTTTAATCAGAGAACAATCTGTAAGTTCCGATCCGGGTGATATGAAATTAGACGTACTGACACCAGATGAAGGAGATTACGGAACGACTCGTGCAGATCGAAGCGCAGCGATCATCCATGGCGGACACGTCAGCGGATGCCGCAAAACTAGATCGCGACAGAGAAGCACTCGACCAGAAGCTAGGTGACATCCAGGCCAAGCTTGCAGAGATGGAGTCGGACAAAGCCGAATCAAGAGCAGCTAGCATTCTTGCTGGTCTTGGCTTCTCTCCCGAGCGACAGCAGTTTGCGACCAAGACATTCTCTGGTGGTTGGCGCATGCGCTTGGCATTAGCCAGGGCTCTTTTCTGCGAGCCTGATCTGCTACTTCTTGACGAACCGTCGAACATGTTGGATGTCCCCTCGATTACCTTTCTATCCAACTACCTACAGACATACCCCAGTACGATCCTAGTGGTCAGTCACGACAGAGCTTTTCTGAACGAGGTGGCAACCGACATCATCCATCAACATTCGGAGCGACTGGATTACTACAGAGGCGCGAACTTCGAGTCGTTCTACGCTACCAAAGAAGAGCGCAAGAAAACGGCCAAGAAGGAATATGAAAACAACGTGGCTGCCCGTGCTCATCTGCAGGCTTTCATTGACAAGTTTCGTTACAATGCCGGTAAAGCTGCCGAAGCTCAATCACGCATCAAGAAGTTGGAGCGCATGCCAGTCCTCCAGCCACCTGAGGCAGAATACAGCGTCAAGTTTAGATTCCCTGATGTGGAAAAGCTTTCGCCTCCCATCGTTCAAATGTCCGGTGTCACGTTTGGCTACACTCCGGACAAGATCCTTCTGAAGAACGTTGATCTTGACGTTCAACTGGATTCACGTATCGGTATTGTTGGACCCAATGGTGCTGGCAAGACAACAATCTTGAAGCTACTCATCGGCAAGCTATCAAGCACTCAAGGCATAATATCACAGCACTCACGTCTACGCATTGGTTTTTTTGCGCAACACCACGTGGACGCTCTTGACCTAACCATGAGCGCTGTCAGCTTCATGGCCAAGAACTACCCAGGCCGTTCCGACGAGGAATATCGTCGACAGCTCGGTTCCTTCGGTATCACTGGTACGACGGGCTTACAGAAGATGGAAGTCCTTTCTGGCGGCCAGAAATCACGTGTCGCTTTTGCGTGTCTTGCACTCACGCAGCCGCACATTCTTGTTCTGGATGAGCCGTCTAACCATCTTGATATCGAAGCTATGGACGCCCTCTCCGAGGCTTTGAACGAATTCCAAGGTGGTGTTCTCATGGTTTCCCACGATGTTACTATGCTACAGACTGTGTGTACAAGCCTGTGGGTCTGTGAAAATGGGACAGTTTGGAAGTTTCCTGGTGATGTCCAACAGTACAAGAAGAGGATTGCAGCATTGGCTGACCAGGCTGGTGTGGTCAAGGCGCACTAGACTTACTGACAATATAAACCAATTGTTCGTCGAGAATCCATGCAATGTGTCTCTAGCGTAATGAAATCCATAGTGCCGAAATATGACTTGACGTTTCTCAATAAAGAGACCAAAAGCTAGCAGAGGCTCCTTGACGAACATTTCATTACCAAGAATGCTGCGTCCTAAGCGTCATGCAATTTGGATTTGTACTGTTCGCGCTGACTTGCTAATACATGCTGCCGCATCCGCATCGCTGCATCATGCTCAGTTAACTTGTGTACAATGGTCACAATACCTATAATTGGACTGACTATCTTATCGGATCCATGACTCCAATTGTTATTGAAACAGCAAACGGGCAACCAGCATATGCTTGGTTAGCACTTATCCAAGTACCGACCCTTTTGCGGTTTACAGCTTGAAGATCATGTTTTCCTTTCTAGCTGACGTATAAGTCGTAACCGTAGTATACATAGCGCATATTCAAGCTTTTTCATTCAATCCGAAAGTAACCCATCATGCTTACGACTAACACACTTATATAATGCGATATCATGGAAGTGAAATAGGTGGGCCGAATGGAGATCGGTTTCTTTTAAAAGAAAACTCGTTCAGTCATTAAGCTAAAATGCGATGGTGATGATATCTTGCCAAGGAGAGAGACAACAAACTAATAGCACGTTATAAATGAGACTTATTCGATTGCCGTATCATACATACATAGTGACGATAGATACCGTGGCACGACCATACCTCACTTTATTGCAAAAATCAATCTATAGGGGAGTTAATAAACTACTTAAACACACGAGAGCATCGCCGATTAGTGAAGCTGAGCAAGTAGTTATGAGAAAAAGATCTAGGAACACAAAAAACAACCTCTGATCTTAGTTCAGGCAATCCAAGTCAACTTAGTCGAAGTGGCCTTCAACCGGCCTGGACCGTCTCGCGTCCCAGGATGGGTATCCCCCACAACTCGATTAACTAGCTCCCAGCCAGAGTAAGCACTTCTGTTCTTGAACTAAGATCGTCTGGTCCTATCAGACAATATGATGAACGGTCGCAGTTGTCAAGTGGGGGATTCGAACCCTAGACCCTCGAGTTGGCTACCCGAGCGCCTTACCACTAAGCCACTTGACTCTGGCCTTGCCACCTGTCTTGGTTTTGCAGCCTCGTAATCAGGAAGATAAGGACTCGTCTCGTACCTTGTGCGTGCACGCGAGTTGATTGGGCCAATGGGGCTAACCGAATACTTTCCGAATAAACAGCTTATTCGGATGCCCATCCATGTGCACTGATTGTAGATAAACCCTCCTCCAGCACTGCACTGCCAGCACACTTAGTGTACCTTGATTCTACGATCCTTTTTACAGGGCTTTCCGCAAAAAGACACCATGTTGGCACAGTGAGGTGTGGCTGGATGTTCATTGCAAAGATAGTTGCCTAGGGAAACCAGCTGCCCCCCGGATACAGCACGCCCCAGGCACTCAACCACCACAACAAGGTACCTACCTACGTACAGTAAAGCAGCCCTTTCAGGTCTGTAGCGTAGTGAAACAACAATCAACAAATCTATCTACTGCAAACAGGCGTAAGTACGGCAGCGACTCAACACACCGCGACCCGTTCGTAATCTACCCATGCAGGGACGTAATACATTTCAAGCCTGTTCACGGACTTTAGTCTCGACCAGTTGGCAGTCCGATCCGAGTCAACGCATGTCAATAGATGCAGCCGTGCTCACGACTCTGGAATCTTCATGGTATGGGAAAGAACAATGTGTGCACCAAGCCCCACCATGCTTGTGAGATGGGAACAGAGACAGCTTCTCAGCAGAGGTGAGATGTTTTGTTTTGGTGTCCAAGACAACCCAAAGTGGTCGCTCCTTCCTCTTCATACGCCGTACTACCTAGGTACAGTTTTCCTATCTCCTCTCATTGCGCATACACCGTAGAACAACCGAGTTCACCCGCAAAACTTAAATTCCAACTTGCTAGCTTGTCTACTTCAGCACTAAGGAGATTTGCATCAGCAAGAAATTGTGAGTTATGACGTTGCTGCGTTTTCTTCGCATTTGAATTCCCTGGTTTATCCTGCTTGCGATCAGCCAGTCATTGTGAGAACTCGAAGATTCATCTATGACATAATTACAAATGAGGATGGAAGCCTCAAAATAATGCGGGAGGAGGGGAGAATACGTGCAGAGCGACAACAGAGAGGGAGAGGAAGAGGAGACTTCGAAAAGTATGTTGTGAAAGCCATTGTCAGCTTTTCGGAATCATTCCTTCAGGTATAGTCATTCACCCCGCGTATAGTTGGTGCTCTAGGGACTCGAACTCGAACTATGACCACAACATTGTCTTTCATTGACACTAACTTCCTTTCTCTTACAGCAATTGCCTTCCCTCAATCCCTATGAAAGCGTGATGAATGCGAGTGGAAGTATGACCCCTTCTTCATCTCCTATGCTGCGGTCCGTATCATCGACAGCGCTACAATTGTTAGTCGGGGGGATCAGCCAGAATACAACGATTCCTGCAGCACATCTCAAGTCCCGACAACATCTATCGCCTTCAGCAGTCGTGTTCCTTCTCCGCATCATATTCGTGGTCCAGCAAACTAGTGCTGACGTCTGTACTCAAGAGTCAGTCGTTCGGTCACTCTTTCTGCGTTTGGACCAAGAGTACTTGAAGCCTCGATATGCCCAAAATCATCATCTGCTTCATCATACACGTTGTCCTGGTCGAATTCTTCGCTGTCATCTCCTTCTTCGTAGAACTCATCGCCCTGCTCAACTTCCGCGCTCTCGACTTGGTCGTTCTCCTCCAAGGGAAGCAAATCCATATAATATTGGGCAAAACGATCATGGCCCTCTGGCACGACGACCTTTACTTCCTTGACGTCTCTCATAGCATCTTTCGGATACGTTCCCGCAAAGTATTGCTCTCTTTTGAGTTCGAACTCAGGCCCTGGGTCTTGCTCATAAAGTCAGTCGTCGTGTCTCTATGTGAGTCTCGACATATAACTCACAAGACGTCATGAAAGCATCGGTGTATTCGTCCACAGCAAATGCAAGGTCGTTGCAACAGAGCGCCTGCTGGCCTGCTGGTATAAGTTCCTGGTACAACTTCCTTCCAAAGATGACGGACTGTGCGAAACACCAGAAAGCGTTGGCGTCAACAGTTCTGGGCCAATGTTCGAGTCTAGTCACCATGGCGAAGAAAGACTCAGGTGTATTGTGTCGGGCTTGGGCCACCATGCGGATGGCGTTGCGAAATATATTCCCAAGCCAAGACACGGCATTTTCTTTGACGGGCTCCTCGATGTTCCAACTAATGTATTTCTCAACTCGATGGTAGCCGACAAAGCGTAGGATCATGCGATGGCGCATGTAAACATTCCCGTCGCTGGATGAACCGTCTTGGATTGGCTGAGGTTCTCCTGGCGTCGACCAACGAAAACCTCCATATGGCCCACGAGGCATGACGCAATGGATTTTGCGCATGCGAACCTCCTGCTTTCGTTTCTTCTCTTTGGGGGCTTGAGTTTAGATTCGCTTTCCAGGCCTTGGCGCAGCTCGCTCTTCTCGGACGACCGCTTGCGCTTTGGATGGCGCTCCATGATTGGAGATGCGCTCAAAACACGCCCTAGACGTCACGGAATAAATCGTTTGAGTTGCAATTTGTGCCACAAAGAAAGAGCGGGCGAGGTGGGATATGGGTGACGCGTGCACAGAAGCGAGGGTGCTTGGAAGAGATGGGAGACTGGCGAAGCAGTTGGACAGGTTGCCGAGATGAGAAGCAATAGGTACCTAGATGACGCGGCTACAAAGGCCGACGACAGAGATTCAAGGCAAGGAGGCACTGGCAGGTTCAATGCTAGCGACCACGGTGCTAAATCGAAAGCCTTGGTTGGCCTGGGTAACTATGCGCGATTGAATGCCTCTTGTTCAAGACCGCAATCTCCCTAATCAAATCGACCCCAAGTATATATGGTACCTTAAAAACCAGCGCCGCGAATCAATCTAGGTAGAAACAAGGCTGCTTCGAAATGGTTTATTAGTGAACAGGTAGGTAGGCGTGGCAGACACGGTTAGTCCCAACCCTTATCAGATGCCACAACAAAGATAGTGTAATCACTGAACTACAGGCTCAGAGGCAATCATTCCTAGCCTTTCAAAACATTGATCTGCTTTAACACGGATTATGAGTCCCGTTTAGCTCTCGTCCATGTCTGGTCATAGACTGAGATCGGTGTGGGACCTACTGCAAGTAACCGGCTATTATATACGGTAAGACATCCAGAACTATCACATCAACGCTATTCTAATACAATAACAGTATCACGTATATACATAGACTATTTCAGGTTCTTGTGATCTCGTTTTTAAAGAGGCAACCAATACATGTAGATGGCAGCTTTCTAGCAATGTACGAATAGGTGACGTCCACTAGACAAAGGGACATAACAGTCCATAGATGCAATATCCGACAAAATTACTATATACACATCTCGATTAGATCCGAACTCGAGACCGCTCTTCTCCATTCTCGTTAATAGCGATAACATGGAGGGTTCAACGAACGTAGCGGCGAGCTGCGAGAGTTTCGTAATTTGTTGGCCTGAGCACAAATCGGCAGCTATTATGACTATGGAACATCATCTATTACGAAAGGCGCTTTACTGATCGTTGGTTTTGCGCTTATAGCACTTCTGCTAACGGTACTCGCAGTGGCTGGATTTGGCCAAGTCATATTCTTATATAATAAGTACTTTTTGCGCGATAAGGCATCTGTCTTGACCTTAGAAGGATCCATTGGAAGCAATTTCGATTCAAGACCAATGTGAACCTAGTGAACTCCAATGTGGTCAACTATAATGATCCTTTTGCCGACTACACGATAGAAGATACAATTGTTAGGACGAGGGGGCCTTGAAGGAATACAGACCCTTCAGACTGAACGATTGCTGCCAGGAGAGATCCTAATGACATTTTGGTGATTGTTATTCAACGATTCTGCGCATGTCCAGCCTACTAGTCCACACGTGTCGTCACACTTGATTCTGTGCTCATCCCTTCGTCCGCATCGGGGCCATATTGCAAATGTTGTTAGGCAAAACAGGTCATTCAAGCTCAAATACAACACACACCTTATGAGCAGTGATCAAGAGGGACACCACACTTTCACCTGTATGGAAAATCAGGCGCAGGTGCCTTTGCCCACAAACCCAACGAACAGTATCAACCCGTAACCTCGCAATGTTTTCGCGAGCATAGAATACTAGATCTTTTGGTATATCCTGCGGTGCATAGTCTCTCTTGAGTCCAGAAGTCAGGGAGTAGCACCTCAGTGCGTAGCAGACTGCGATTTTAAGACCGCAAGAGACCTCGTGTGATTAGTGGTTTGGTTGGGTTGGAACTTTCATGCAACAGCACCTGCTGAAAGTATTGCTGGAGGAAGTTTGAGGTCGATAAAGACCGGCATGATATTCACCTCTCCACACAGATCGTCGATGCCACCGACCCGAAGATGTTGACAGCAGCTTCGATCTTGACATAGAAACAACTCGTGCTTGTTGATGGCGATAGAGGACAATGTGTTTCAGCGTGGCATAAGGTGATGCAATGTGATGAACATAGTGTCGTAGCAGGCCGTCTATGCTAAGCAGTTCCACAGCGATGGTACATACAAATTCCATGTCCATGTTGCATCCCACAATATAGTATGGTTCATTTCTGTTCGTTGGTAGGAGACCCTAGGTGGCACAAGCGTAAATGAACGCAGCAAGGTTGGCGCAATTATTGGGCACCGTTGTCCCTAAACTATTGTCAGTGCCCATACGGTGGCGAGGATGAAAGATAATACATTCGCCATTATTGGCAATTGGCGGATCACCACCGATGTATCACTCGCCTTCGATAGCATTGTCCAGGAAAGCTTAGACAGAAGCCATTCACGAAGATCGCTCCTGTTGGCTTGAAGGCAGCATTCAGCAGGGGATCTATCGTCTCACAGTAAGAGCAATTAATCATACAAGCAAGAGATCCGACATATGACTAGGTAAGTACACTCAAGATAAATTGCCCGAAGTACGAAGACCATTGGTTGTCTTTATGCCCGAAAGGTACTCGATTCAGG